AATTTTAGGAAATTTGAAACAAAACAAGAAAGAAAAAAAAGTCATTTGAATTGGAAAATATGATAGTCAATTCAGGTCAGAGATCATCATAAAGATCTATCGATCAATTCTATTCAAAAAAAGTTTTTTTTTTGAAATAAAGTTCACCAAAAACAAAACAACAAAAAAATGATAGCAATCTACATGGAAGAAATCACACAATTACTATTATCATCATTTGAACATATGACATACATAGAGATAGATAGATAGAATGTTTATCAGAGTCAATCAGAATTCTCCATACACAAAAAAACACAAAGTATAAAATGACAGGTAAAAATATAAAAAAAATGACCGATGGCAAATGGCGCCAATCATGACCATCATGATGATGATGAAGCTATGGTCAGAGAATGACAGCTTGCTTGGTTGGTTCGGTTTGGCTGAATGAAATGAATGAAATGAATGACTGACTGGTTTGGCACACAAGTTGTAATTGTGTCTGTGTGTGTGTAATTGAATATAATAATCAAAAATCATCATTCATTCATCATCCGATAAGATTATTAACAAATGAACATTGATTGCCAAAAATCGAACCACAACAGAAATTGCAAACTAATCAATCATCGAATCATTAGTCATTAAAAAAAAATGGTCACCAATGGGTAATAATAATAATAATCATTAAGGATCGTAGGTAGGTAGTTGTTGGTCATTATTATTATTATGTTGATAAGGTCATAAAATTGTTTATAGCAAATTATCGACCTAAAGCAGGTGTAGAGAAATGAAATCAACCAAATGGACAAATGGAAAGTTTGTAATTATCATTACGGGCTACCGACTTACCTGATCGGGGTGGTCTTGTGTTCACAACAACAACAAAATTTTTAAAAAATTAAAACATTGATTGAGTGATTAGATTTTTTTGTTAAAAATTTAGTTCGTAAATACAAATTGTTGGAACCAAATGGCAAAACAACAAAAAAAGCCACCAACATTGATGAATGATTAACAGACACACTCGATGGTAAGCGAATGATTTTCTTGTTCTTTGGCAATATTTTTTTTCGAATTTATTTATAAATCATCATTATCAGCATCAATTAGCGAAAAGAATGCTGGTAATCATTTTAACAAAAAAACACTTAATGGTTAGATCGAAGAATTTGAAAATTCACCAAAATGATAAATGACAGATTTACACCATATATATTGGCAACAAGTGAAAACGGAAGAAAAATAACAGATTTGAAAAAAAATGTCACAGAGCGCGCCACCTATCTGCAGCACTTTACACTTTTTTTTTGTCGAAATAAGGGATATGTATTCTCAATGAATGGAATCTCTGGCTGTTTGATGAAAGGGAAATAAAATTTTTCGACAAAGAAAAGATACGATGTAACGTCATAACATGATGAATGCCAATATTAGACTGAAAAATCCTAAGTTCTTAGATGACAATCGTCGCCCATACATAATACACATTGAGAAGATTTTAAGAAAGATTCTCTTTTTATTCGTAAAAAAATTTACCGAAAGAAATATTTGTAGTAGTAGCATATGGAAATGAAAGAATGAGGAGGGTCAAACATTTGAACAAGCATCTTCAATTCATTCATCAGAAAAAAAAATCCAAAATGGGAGGAGTTTATGGTAGTTGTAGTAGTATAGAAAATAGTCAACAAAAAAAATTTTTTGGATCAAATAAATTGGATTTATGGAATTGAAAATATTGGATCAATTTTGATTGATTGATTAATTATCAGATTTAGAATCACAAAGAAAAAAGAGTTTAAATGTAGCTAACTATTGATTCTAGATAGAATTTTTTTGAACATTTTTAGAGAGAAACTCTATTCTTCAACTGTTGCTTCTGCTTCAAGTACAGACCGACAATGATAAACATATTACGAAAGAGAGAGAGAGAAAGAAAAAAAATGATGACGAAAACAAACGAACATTTTTGAATTCAACAAATGAAAATTCAGTTTGAATGTAGATTTCGTTGTGTACGGGTCAGCCTGTTGCTGTTATTTTGTATTCGAAATTTTTTTTTCGGTTTTTAAATTACTGTCTCTCTCTGTGTGTGTGTATATTGATGTGCGACCCAACAGAATTTGTTGTAAATTGAAACCAAACACCCATCATATCTGATAAGATTTCATTTTTTTTTTTGGTCAGTGATTTTTTTTGTTTCTCTTTTTAACAACCAACCATTTTCGACACACACACACGTGTTATCCATATGTTGAAAATATTCGGGTAAGAACATTCATTGAACATTTTCCCAATTAGTCCATTTAGTTCAATCAATACTGTACAGTTTTTCTTTAAAAAAAAGGATTCAAATGTCGAAAAAAAAAACATTGAATGACCTTAAGAGGTATGTATTTTTCAATTAAACTTCTATTTGAATGTGGATTTCGAAATGTTTTTTTTTGAAGAAAAAAATTATTTAAATAACAGTAAGCGAACTTAATTGTGAGAGCAATTCAGTTTCATCAAGTTTTAAATGCTGATGCCTATCATCATCATAATCCTATGTTAATATTCACTGAATGATTAGCAATGATAATGATGATGGCAGTGGTGGTTTTAGTGTTAAAGTTATTTTTGGATCCAAAATTTTTGGTTCCATAATTTTTTTATATAATTTGAATATTTCAAATTTAAATTCACATGCGTGACTATCAATGGTTGATAATCGAATTTTTTTGTTTAACTCTCGATTACTCTTCTGGGTTTTTCAATTATTATTATTTTTGAAAAAAATGAAATAAAACATCCATCCAAATCAGCCGACCAGAAACAAAATGATGATGATGCGCATTGTCTGGTCTTTCTCTCTGGTCTAACATTCATTCATTTATTTTATTTCATTCATTCATTCAATTCTCATCATCATAGTGATTACAACCCAAAACCCAAAAACTAACCGGGGTCACAAATGAATGATTATGAATGTTGCACGTTTTCAATTTAAATCAAGAATTTTTTTTCAGTTTTATTTTTTGAAATTGTCAGCCACCGCCTTGTCAGTATATGTATTGCTGCAAGACACAAATGACATCCAGAAAATCGTTAGAAATTAAATCCAATTTTTCATATAAAAAAGCTAAATTTCAAATATCTTAGCTCTGGACAGGATATTGAAATGATCCATCATGAAACCAAATGATTTTACATATATATTCATAACCATTTGCTGTTGTATAAACACTGTGTGCGCTACATTTCACTTTTTTTTCTTCAATTCATTTATCTAGAAAAAAAAAGATTTAAAGATGAAAATGATAATCATGGACAAAATGGACAAACTCTTAAATGGTAATGTTGTTGTCCATTTTTCATCTATCATATGATGATTATTATTATGATAATAAACTGACATGATGATGATCAAACAGCCAAAACAAAAATTATTCATACAATTTTATTTATGATGATGAATTGTACACACACACACAAACACACACATTTAGAATAGCCATTCATTCATTCATATGAAAATAGTGATCATAATCATCATAAATATGAAAAATATATTTCAAAAATCCCCCAAAAAAAAAATCAAATCAAACCAACAAACATCCTACTCTAAATCAGTTTGAATATACGATGGTGGTTGTTCTGTTTAATTGTGTGAAGGAAATGAAATAAAGTTATTATCATTTTCCTTATGAATCCAAAATTATTTATTTATTTTTCAAAAAAAAATGGCAAAGTCATCGAGGATAGTTTTGGAAAAATTGAAAAAAAGGGGAATGGAAAAGAAATTCAAATTCAAACTATCACATCTTTCATTTGTATTTATTCACACTGTGTGTCTGTGTGTGTTAGTCATTTGAAAAATACTGTACTGTTTTTTCTGTCCAAACAGCATCATTTAAAAACATTGCCTACACCAATAACAACATTCACACATAACAAATAAAAACATTGGCCGCCCATTATCATTAGGAAAAATGATTGGTTTAAAAAAAAACTATAGGCTAAAATCAATGTAGATGTTGTTCTATGATGGTAGATTGTTTGATCAACTCCTTTTCAATTCTGATCAAATTAATGAGTTGATTATTTTTCGATTCTATGAATTTTATTCATTGGAAAAAATTCTTGCATATCAAAACGATGAATCAGATTCTCATTCAGAATCTATTTATTTATTTACTCAAGAATCCTGTTGAATCATCAGAATTTTCATTTAGTGTTTCTGTTTTTTTGTTTTGTTTTCTCGTTAAGAATGTAAATAATTAATTTCAATGATTCAGTTCTGTTTGTTTTGCTTGTTTAACATTATTTAGCTTATTTTCGTAATGACTTTACCAGAAAAAAAACCGACTGAATAAGAAGTATGATGATTATCCAATGGTCATAATTCCCAGGGATTTTTTCGTTAATTCGTTTTCCATTAAACTTCAATCCATTTTGATATCTTTTTTTGAATCACACACTCTGTTATTCATCATCATCATCATCCATACAAAGAACAATCATTTAAATCTTTAAAATTGTAAAAACCGAAAACGATAACATCAACAACAACAACAAAACGGGATCTCTCTTTTTGCTCTCTTGCTCTCTTGTTGTTGTTGTACACTTTCTGACATTCATTCAGTATATTCATCATAACACATGTGATGATCGTCATATTTAAACATCATTATCATTTCTATGTGTGTTTGTCGAACTTTGACATTCGAACTAAACATTCAATATCTTATTTTTATTTTTCTGAACAGAATTCGTTTGTTTTGTATTTTCAAATGATAATAATCGATACAACAACGACAACAACAACAAAATCTTGATCAAAGAACTAAAGATAATCCAGACATTTCATAATATCGGATATCGTTTGAACTAAAAACTCAAGAAATACAACGAAAAAAAAATCTGCTTCATTTCATCTCCATTACCACATTTATATATACAGTACAGTAGCCATTATCTTTGGAAAATACATGTTTTTTTCTTGTGTAAGTTGTTCATTGTTATCATCATCATCATCGAAATAAGTTATTTGTTTTGTTTGTTTCTGACTGAACATCTAAATAAAGTTTGTCATAGATAAGTGAAAACAGGCCGAAAAGACCAATCGCAATTCCATTTTATGGAAATTTTTCATTAATTACAACAAACAATCAAACGATACAGCAAGCAAAAAACACCACCACCACCCCAACCATATATGTTCAATTATCAACAGGACATCATTCCGGACGATACGATGATAATGATGATGATGGCCAACATTACGAATAGAAGAAAAATGTCATCACCATTATCAACATCCAAAACAGCAATACGAACAACAATCAACAATTGTTCGGGTAAGTTACTGTAAATGATATTCATATATTTTTTAAAAAATGAATTAAATTTCAAATGAACAAAAATTTTGTTTTGTTTGACAAATGAAAAAATATCACAAATAAAATAGCGAATCGTGTCTAGAATTTTCTTTTTTTTTCGCAAAAACATAGATTATGTCATAACAACAACAACAACAACAAAAAACAGCCATTCAGCAACAGCAGTTTTTTTTCATTTCTTCTTTTTAATGAATATAAAAAAAATTGATAATAATTTTAATGACAATGTTACATGGATGGATGAAAAAACCAAAAGAATGAATGAATAAATGAATGAAAAACAACACGGACATCGATAGTCCAAAATTTAGGCCAAAATTGAATATATCACGTTGATCATCAACTACTGTACTTGTTGTTGTTGTTGTTTTCATTTACATGTGTCACAATCCTATTTAAGAATTTATTTCTGTTGTTGTATTTTATTCAGGTTTTCTTCATTTCAATTGAAAAATTTAAATATAAAGATTTTTTTTCCTTTCTAATCTAGTAATACATTGAGAGAACCAAAATTCGACATTTAAATTGTTTTTCGTTTCTTCTGGTTGTTGTTGTTGTTGTTGTTGTTGACAATCAAATCAAATCAACTAGACACGTCCGTGTCAAATATTGGGCGCCATTTCATTATATTCAACAATTCAAAATGTTTTCTTTCTTTTTTTCTTTGCATTCAATTTTATCCTTGTTACAATTTTCTTTTGTGACACTTTTTTTCATTCATTTCATTTGTCACCAATCACATTATTATCAAACACATCCAGGATAAAACGAAATTTTATCCTCCTCCTCCTATTGGAAATAAAAACATTTAATTACTTTCAATTGATTGATAGATTGATCTCTTTTTCTTCTTATTATTATTTTCCTTGTTAAATGGAAGAAAAGAAAAAATCGATTGCAACAGGTGTCACAACTGAATGAATGAATGAAAAGTTTATCAATGTGATATATGGGATCTTTTGAATCAATGATTGATTGAATGAATCATTGATCTTAATGATAATTAAGGTTTTCATAATCATCATTATCAGATTAGAACAAAAGAAAAAAAGAAAATTAATAACAATAATAACCATCAGGCAAAATTTGATAATAATGGGCGATTCACACACACACACTCAAATGACTTGAGATTTCATTTTTAATTTTTTTTTTCGAAAAATTTCCAATTCAATTCATTTTTCGAACACATAATTGCCACAAACACACACACACAATGTTGTTGTTGTTGTTTATTTCTGTAAATTAACAATTAAGATTGGAAAGAAATTATCAGACTATGTCGTATCCTCGACTATTGCCTTTTATATAAGTTTTTTTGATTCGAAAAATTCGGTTTTATGTCAACTTTATAATGATAATAATGATGATGATGATGATGTTCAAAGTTGGATGATGATGATGATGACAACAGTAAGCTTTAATAATATTTTTTTAATTTCTTTTGACAACGAAATCAACTAAACAGAAATAATAATCAGAAGAAAAAAAAATGTTGTATTGCCGTCAAGGGTGAGCTGCATTTTCTCATGATCATCATGATCATCGTCGTCATCATCAAGTATCTTTTAAATCTCTTTTCAAATGCTTTTGGATGTATGTTAGTATCTTTGTTCATTGTTTGTGTGAATAAAATCCCGAAGTTTGTTGTGGTTTCTTTTTTTCGATGAACTTCACTATAGCGGTTCACTCTTGAAAATTCTTGTTCATTGCCAACAACTTTAAAGTAATAATAAAGAATGATAGAGATTAATGGAAAAAAAGTAAAGAGAGTAGGCTAAAATGACATTATTCTTGTTAATTTGATTGTGTTTTTTCATTGTCAATCAGGTTTTTTTTTCATTCGTTAACACTGACACAATGATGATTATCATAATGTCAATAAAGTTTTATCGGATTAAAACCAACTAAACAACCAACTAAGCAACCGATTGTTTTCATTCAACAGGTGTGATATTTTTTTTATGTTTTACACAGAAGCTTTTTTTTCGATTCAACCTTTTCTTGGATAGAAAATAAGTGTTAATTTTTTTCTGAAGATCCCATTCATTTTCTTCATTTTCTACATGAATGATAATGAAAAACTTTAATGTTTTTTTTTCTGAATGCCGCCGAATCGAAGCCATAAAACAAAACCAATGTATCTCTAGCCAATCTTTGATTTTATGATGTGTTTATTTGATCATTAATTAGCCAAAAAAAAATAAACAGAAAACAAAATGCCATTCCCCGAATCGGGCCAATCTGATTTTGCAAAAAATTACTGATTGCAGACAAGTCTAGAAAGAAGTAAGGCAAAAAAAAAAAGTTTTTTGTTTTCGGTAATGAATCATGATGTAATAATGATGATTCTAAGCATTTTTTTTCTGGGCAATAAGATTCTGAATGTAATGATAATAAAGACGATGAATATAAAATTTTTTTTATATATTCTACAAATCTAGACAAACAAAACAAAACAAAACAAAATGCAAAACAAACAAACAAACAAAAATAGAACAGATTCAATCGAATGAACATAAAGAGAGCGACACACACCAAGCATTTATTATTTTCAAAATTGGGTTGTGAATGTTGTGAAAAAAAAATTCTGTTCAATTTTCAATTTCAAGCATTCAAATTGTATCGACATAATTATTTACCATATGTTGTATACATTGCACCATTGTTTTTTGTTTCCATTCATTTATGTATTCATGTTTTGTTTGTTTCTTCTGGTTGAAAGTGAAAAAGTTTCAATTCAATTTTCAATTTTTTTCCATTTCTTCATTGTTTTTCCTTTTCCGTATTGGCTAATAAATCGATTTTTTTTCGAAATTCTCCTTGAAATGATGCCAGAATATTGTTTTGCTGTGAACAAAATGATTGATTAAACAGATTTTTCGAAAATAGTTTGCCAATCTAGCCATTTGTTTTTGATGTATTTATTGCATCATTGTATAACAAACAAACATTTCCGATGAATAATTGTGTGTTTTTTGGTTGTCATGAAAATAAACGTCATTGGTATTCATTATTTCAAAAAAATGATACACAGAATAATAACCGAAAGTTTGATTCCATAAAGTTATTTAATGATTAACAGCCAATGATTCACTAGCAATTCTTTTCTTTTTTGAAATGTTGTCATATTTTTGTCTCTCTATTTAGTCACATCGTGTTAATGATGATCGTTTATGTCATTTAATTTTTTCTCTCTTCTAGACAATTTCATTTACACTTAACTATTTCGATACTGTTTAAACATTTCTCTCATTTTCTTCGTTTTTTCCCCTTTGAATTAATGTCAAGAATTTTTCTCATTCTTCGATTTCGATTGCTTGCTTTGAAAAATTCTTTGTTTTTTCTTTTTCTTTTTTCTCTTTCGACAACGGTGGCAATATCGTTTAAATTATTTCGGTTGATAAAGACTGTTTTTAGCACAATTTTGTTTTTCTCTTTTCTCTTTTTTTCTGGTTAAATTTATTTATTACCATTCGGAATTTTTTCGAAGCAAACTGGTATTGTAAAACAATTTTGCGTTTGTTTTTTGTTTCATTCCGGTACATATGGTGTTTTGTTTTTTGCATGGTAAACATTAGATCCATTGATTGATATCAGAAGCTAATAACTGGATCATTTTTATTTTTTCAAAATCATACATCTGTACATTCAATCACACTAATGTCATATTTAATTGAATTTTCATTCAACAAGTAAAAAAAACAATCTTTACTATGTAAAATGATATTCATTTTGGGCTTTTTTTTCAAAAAAAATTCAGTTGTTTTGACTTATTTTATGGTTATTAGAATGGACAAAAATATATTTTGCCTAATGAAAATGTCCATGCAAATGCACATGTGGCTTCTCGATCTTCCTGTTTTTTTAACTACCCAATGTGTTTTTTTCTGAATTGAAGCAATACTTTTTTTAACACTTCTTGTCATTTGAATTTGGATTGAAAAAAATAATGATTCCAGTTAAAACCTTTTTCAATTTTTTTTCTCGTTTAATGATTGATAAATAGCTAAGTAAAAGAAGACAATCGATTTGAATCTAGTGTATGTGTGACACTTTTAACCAATCTTTTCACTGAAATTCATCATAATCATTATCATAATGATAATTTAGGTGGCTCAACAAGCGGAATAATCATTTTTGATGATGATTACTATGATGATATCCGATGTTAATGATGGTAATATACCCGGATTAGAATATAAAATATAATGATAACATTCATTGAGCGTCTGTGAACAATAAAAAATCTTTTTATTTTCATCATGATGATTATATTGTTGATTATCGCAGCTTATTTTCTACTTTATTTATCGGATCATTTACCATGATCAAGATGATGATGATGATGATGGCGGTGGTGGTTTTTATATTATGATAAGATGCGCAATCTAAAACGATTTAAACCAATCATTATTGTAAACACCAACCAACCAACCAACCAACACAATAATAATAATCCGTTGTTGTTAATCTACTGGTGTTTGATAAGAACATTGCTGAAACATTTGGTTTTTTTATTTGAAAAACACATGTGATATACATTCATTTTTTTTTGTTGCAAAAAACATCAAGACCTATATCTTAGCAATGGATATGATAAGTAAAGACACTCGTAAGACACACACACATATGGCACCAAATAATGAATTTTTAATGGTCAAAACATTAGTTTTTTTATTGTTGAAAACAAATAAAGAAAAAGAAGAAGAAAAACCTATAGTAAATGCAAACATGTGTTAAGCATTCATATGTGTGAAAAAAATGTGCATTGAACAACAAGATTGAATCAGTCTGATTCATTCATTCATTGATTGTTCAAAAAAAAAATTTTATATAACACTTGACAATTTGGCCATATTATTATCACACATAAGATTCTTGAAATGTGTCTGTAATTTCAAGTGTCCATTATTATTGAAATGTTGTTGTATAACATAAGATTTATTTCTCTTTTT